AAACCAAATTCTTCCGGTTTTGTCTAGCTTATTGGTCTAAAAGTTATTTTTTTTTAATTGGCTGTAGCCCCCTTAACCGTTTAACTGAGAAAATTATATTTAAAAAAATCATATTATTATAAAGTATAACACTAACAAAAAATGTTGAATTTTTTTGAAATGTAAAATAATTTTTCACGCATAGCAAAAATGCTGCTAGTATAATGTATAAATTCATAAAAATAAGATCACAATGACAACATGTCCATTTTTGTTTATCTATCGACATTAAAATTATGTTTTAACATTTGCATTTCATACCAGCTACTTTTTTGAAATGCTATACAGCCGATTCCGCTTAATAGAGACACTGGCTAATATGGATAAGGCTCATCGGGATAATTCTTCAATTACGAAAACAAATATAAAGTTGTGTAAAAACGTTCACCGTTTATTTGGACCACGAATCTAGATAATCGRGACATTTTCATCCCATTTCATAGAATCCTTTACTATGGAATAATTTTTTTAAACGAGAAATAAAATTTTCGGTACGATGCATATTTAATGTATGAATAAAATTTCAATAAATACGAAATTATGAACAGAATATCCAATACACCTACGATGTACGTCATTKTCTATTTTACCTCTAAWGAGTTGTATAACATCAATGCGACATCTTACACAAATAGTATTTATAACAGCTATTGACTGTTTTACAAAGATACGTGTTTTTGAATATCACTTCAAAATGTTATAGTATAAATTAAGTACATATAAAAGCCATTCAAACGTTGGTCAAGTATCTAACCTATAACTAATTATTATCGTTTGCGTACTTTAATACAAAAACAATAAATAATTATTATCGACCATTGAAGGTATATGATGGTTGCATGGGCTAACCATGTATTTACATTCTACATAAAGATAACTGCGGCAAAAGATTATTTAATTATTATTGTTATTATAAATATTATTATTATTATTATTATAAATATTATTATTATTATTATTAATATAGGGTATATACTTACATCAATAACAGTCTTACTTTATTGATCGCGTACAAACCCTTCGGCTATTAAGATGTTGTATGTTGTATTCAACTATTCAAGTACTTATTATGTGTATAGGTACGCTGTACGCGTCTGCGTCTGTCACACTGTAGTGTATAGAAAATACTTCGATCATTCGATCTCGTTTTGATTTATATACGTATATATGTATTATCACTATGTACATATTTTATTCATCTTTTCATTTTTTCGAATTATTGTTGTACATGTTATTTACTAGATAAACTCTGAATGAACAGATAAATCGACAAAAGAAATGTCACT